GCAAAGTCTTTTTATTGAAGAAAATACTGCATGTCACAAAGTTTCATGCAGTATAGTTTTTATTTCTTCAATAAAAAGACTTTGCATTTAATCTAACTTTGTGCCGGTGCCGGTGTCCCTGTTTCCTGCTGTTACGTGACGGTTGCCGTCCGTCGACCACCGCAGCACCCATATTTTCCCTTGGAATCAAGCGGTCAGGAGTGCGATGGGTTCATGTCACAAAGTTACAACTTTGTGACATGCAGTATTTTCTTCAATAAAAAGACTTTGCATTTAAGCTAACATTGGAGTGCCGGTGTCCCTGTTTCCTACTCCTGAAGGTGGCGCTATAAAACCAGTTGGACAAGATCTGAAGATCCACTATGTCCTTCAATGAACGCAGAGAAAAGGATTTTTTACGGTGAGTACAAAAATTCTATTATTTTTATGGTATCAGGCTGGACTTGCATTGTTACATTGCGGTAATGCATGTTGGTGTGCTGTGGTGTAGGGCTGCAACAACTAATTGACTAAGTCGATAATAATCGATAATGAAGATCGTTATCAAGGGAAATGAGCTGAGGAGCACATCGTTAGAGATGTCCAGGGAACTGGGACACACTGGCCGGGAACTGTGACGAGCACTAAGCAGAGCATGGAGACTCTGTGCAGCAGAGAGGTACAGGAAGCTTCTGAAATTATCTGCCGGGATGTAGTGCAGTGACAACCATCCTCCCCTGTGTCTCAGCCTCCCCCTCCTCCTACTCCCCAGGCTGCTCACGAACAGTGAGTAACAGTACTTTGCAGTGGACTGTAGACAGGCTAAGTAGCCATGTGCAGCCAATGTGTGCACTGTGCGTGTTGTTTGCACTGTGTACACTGCGCTGGTTCTGTGTGTAGATGCAGTGAGTGGAGCCAGTGACGTAACAACCGGGATGGGGGAGGGAGACAGTGCAGCTGCCCTAGGCACAATGATGGGGGTGATGGCCAGTCAGCAAACACACTGCACAAGGAGCTGTGCGCAGCAGAGGCAAATAGTGGTACGTTGAGCTTCGCATGCAGTGTGTCCGGCACTATCCTCTCCCGTGCTCAGCTAGACGAGAGTGTGCAGGCCAGTCAAGTTCCTCCACCCCAAACTCGCTCATGAATGTCTTTATGGACCTTGCTTTGTGCACTGGTGCGCAGTCATGTTGGAACAGGAAGGGGCCAACCCAAAATGTTCCCACAAAGGTAGGAGCCGGAAATTGTCCAAAATGTCTTGGTATGCTGATGTCTTAAGAGTTACCTTCACTGGAAGTAAGGAGCCGAAACCAACCCCGCACCATAATCCCCCCTCCGCCAAACTTTACACTTGGCACAATGCAGTGGCTGCGTTGCTGTTGTTCCCAGTGGAATATTTAGTAGCAAGGAAATTTCACAGATGGACTTATTGCACAGGTGGCAACCTATCACAGTACCACACTTGAATTCACTGAGCTCCTGAGAGCGAGATTCTTTCACAAATGTTTGTAGAGGCAGTGTGCATGCCTGGGTGCTTGATTTTATACACCTGTGGCCATGGAAGTGATTGGAATACCTGAATCCAATGATTTGGAGGGGTGTCCTAATACTTTTGGCTATAGTGTGTAAATACACCTAACTTTAAATCACAGCTAAGAGTTAGAGAAGGGACTCTAACTGGGCAATGGAAAGCCCAGAATGTTGTGCAATATTAGTATCATTAATGCATGCAGTGGCATAACTATTTCCATAGCATGCCACAGAGTCGCTATGGGGTACGGGGCAGAGTTAGGCCCGGTCAGGAGTTGGCTGAGGCACTTTTTTTCTTAGAACCGCAGCTGCGCAAACCTTTTTAAGGAACCGTTGTGTGCCTGCCAGCCACTGGGTGGAGTGATTTTTTCGGCTCTGACATGCAGAAGCCGAGAAATAGACTAAGAACCTCCAGCAAAGAACCTTCAATACAGTAAGTAGATGGACTTCCAACACAGTGAGTAGAGAACCTCCAGAAGTGTAGAGAGCATCCACAATGGTAAGTGGAATCAGTACAGCTCAGATCAGGGCTGGATTGTCATGACGATCAGTGGAGTAGCGTGGGGGGGGCACTTGCGCCGGTCTGCAGGGGGCAACGGCATGGCTGGGTTTTCCACAAGCCGCTCTCGCGGCTGCATGTAAGTGATCTGCTCGTGGGCACAGTGACAAGTTTAGAGCTGCCCAAGGCTAGCATCGGTGGCATCGACCGGAGGATAGCAGGGGGAGAGTTCAGGTGAGCTCTCTATACCCCATAGTCTGGCTGAGAAGTCAAGTGAGCTCTGTACCTTAAACTGGGATGAGAAGTCAGGTGAGCTCTGTACTCTATAGGTGGGATGGGTGGTCAGATGAGGTCTGTACCCCATAACGGAGATGAAAAGTCAGGTGTGGTCTGTACCCCATAGCTGGCATGGGAGATCAGATGGGCTTAGTACACCATAGCTGGGATTCAAGGTCAGGTCCGTGGCAGATCTAGAGGGGAAGGGTGGCAAAAGGGCAATTTGTGGCGGGGGGGGGGGGAAATTATCATGAATACCTAGGAGCAGCCCATCAATGAGGAGTAGGTGTGGGCCGTGTGCTACCAGTGTGCCCAGGAACTGGCCCAGAGCTCCCTGGCACCTTGGCCAGGGTACGAGACCCAGCACCAGTCCTCTATAGATGATGGTGTTCTGCATTGGTATATAATGTATTGCTGGGATTTCTAGTCCTCTATACAGTGGCAGAAATACCAGGGTCCAGGAGGTTGCAGCTGTGACGGGGCCCAAGCATTTCGCCACTTAGGGGGCCCTAGTAACCTCCGACATCTCAGGTTACAGGACCCCCCTTTTTTTTAGTCTGTGGTCCTTCATCCTTCAGACTGCATGGATCGTGTGTATAACGATTGAACTATGGTTTGGTTTGTGGGGGAGTGCTAATGAAAGACTCCCCCCCCCGGCGCCTCGTGACCTTGCTGCGCCTCTGATGGCTATCCTTTTTACCCAGGCAGATCTGTTAGTAAGCTGTCTGAGCCTCACCCCGTGGTCTTAGACTTTTCGTCCTCCTTCTCTCAGAAATAACAGACGTGACAGCAGTCTACTGATTAACCTCTGCGCAGCTGCAATGTCACTTTTCATCCCCTCATAGTGTCACAAAGTTCTCTAGACTTCCATTGGTGAGCCTGCACTGCCCCGATGTCCATGTTCTTCTGTACCCTAATTATTTCTACTGCAGTCTCATGTCATCCTCCCCTGTGACTAGGGTCTTGTCATGGCCAGCCATAACAATCAACACAGTTCCTCTACAGTCATTCTTCTCCTTCCCCCATCTGCACCGTCACTGGCTCTATGCTGTTACATTTCCTCTAGTACTTCCCTACAGCGGTCACTGTACTCCACCGTTCACCTCCTGTTAAAGCACCCTCTGGTTTTCTTTCTGCCATGGCAATTCTTGTTCTTAGCCCCCATGGCACTGCTCCCCCACTTCTCTCCTGACACTGCTCCCTTTTATCTCGTCTTCATCCTGACACTGCTCCTCCGCATCTCGTCCTCATCCTGACACTGCTCCTCCGCATCTCGTCTTCATCCTGACACTGCTCCTCCGCATCTCGTCTTCATCCTGACACTGCTCCTCCACATCTTCTCGTCTTCATCCTGACACTGCTTCCCCACATCTCATTTTCTTCCCGATAATGCTTCCCCTCATCTTCATCCCGACACTGCTCCTCCACATCGTGACGTACGTACGCCCGCCCCAAACCCGCTGTACGTCAATCACACGTGACTATATACAGTTCTGAACCGAGCGTGAGTGTCACAAGGACGTGGCTATACCACTCTCAACCTCACCCTGCTCAGAGATTCCCCAGCTCGCGGGACACAATCTCAGGCCAGCAGACAGAGCGATCGTCACCAGGGTTGGTTAACTCCGCAGTTAACCCTTTACTCACAATCGTTCGCTGCCACCTTGTGTTTTTTAACGGAAACACAGACTGTGCCCAGCAAATGCTGCGACAATTTAAAACAATGCCTATGATATCACTGTCCTCTCAGACAGGAGTATGACAGGATTCACTATACAGTAGCACTCTTCACAGAGGCAAGGATATTTTAAGTTCATATTTAGAGTGTAGAGATAAGCTTAACGATTTTTAAGATCGTCCTTTAATAAAAGAAACGGTGCAGAAAATATACAGAAAAAAGATATTAATAAAAAGAGACAAGATATATATAAAAGGAGAATACTCAACAGTCCTGGTTTTAGGAGTTCTGACAGAGATCAGAGTTGTATAAGCAAAGGAGAAGTCTGAAGGGCTCCAAATATTAAAGGGGAACTCTTCTGCGATGTTAAGACTTCTTAGTTCCTCGATGTTTTTAAAAACGAGAGCCCTCTCTAGCTAGTTCAGCATCTTTTTGTCAGACCTTTCGGAGCTGTCCACTAGGGCATGGCTGGGGCTGGAAAGCAAGCGTAGGATGAACCTTTATTTTACACTATCGCTGCCCCCTTCCAAATTATGAAATGTAGCTTGATTTTGTAAGTCAAGTTTATGACTTTTGGGTGAATATGGGGTCACCTCCTCTACCAGACCTGCTTGTTTATATTTACTTGTCCACTGGTAATAGATGAGGGTCTGGTGCCATGCCTTTAATTAGGGACTGCTATAAAAGGCTTAGAGGCTGGGCAATAAAAGATCACAGGCCAGATAGCAGATCTCTGTTCTGTGGAATGCGGAGGGACCTGGCAAATGGCTAAATGAAGGCCTGCAGTTGCTCCGAACTGGGAAGGGACAAGATAATTCTATTTGTAGTATTCAGTATATGGGGGCCCCATACAAAAAAAATGTTTATGGGGTCCTGTGATTTCTAGTTACGCACCCTGAATACATCAATTGGTATACTTTTCACAAAGGTTTATTTCAACCATGTGCTTAATGAGTTTAGCTTTAATTAACATAGGGGTAGCAAATGTAAGATTTGCTTCCCTCATTATATTTAACAGTATTTGCTGTCTCCTTTTAGATACGAAGATACAAGGCAAATCAGGCTGTTATGAACAAAGCTGCTGAAGTGTATACTGGAATCAAAGCTCGGATTCTTGGTCCTAAACTTGAAAAATGGCCAAAAGAAGATGAAGGTGTTTGTAGTGTGGAGAAGAATACAAATTTTGAAAGCCCAATTAAAGAACAAGATGAAGGTAATTGGTAATGGAAAACAATTTGCATCCTTAATCATCTGACCTTTCTTCTAAAACACATTATCAGCAACTGAATTATGTGAATGTACAGACCTCTTTTTTTGGCTTACAGTTAAATTAAACCTGTTAGAAAAATGAGGGAGCTGTAATTTCTTAAATTATCTGCAGGTTGTAGTGCCATGTTCCTGATGCTTACTTTGGTATCAGTCTCTGAATAAGCCTGAAAACAGTGAGATATGAAACCAGCCTTGTTCTTGTACAACAACTCGATAGGATGAGAAGCCAGGATCAGGATGCTAGTCAAACCCTTAGTAAAATGGCAGTTCCTACATTTCTATTCTCACATGTTTCAGGGCAACCTGGAAAATTCTATCCATAGTGGACTTCTTTGTTTTTGGTAGCATTAGACATTTTGACATTCCCCTGGAACCTTGATGGGTAAATCTACTATACCTGGCATGCATGGGAGTGTTCTCCACATTCTCTAACCCATTAGGGAGTACAGGAGACAAAATGTTTCATCACCTATCTAATGCATTCTTCACTTGATTATGTGGAGACAACAGTACCTGTGTTGTAAGTAGGGTGAAGCAATATTGTTTTTTTTTTGTTTTTTTTTGCAAGAAGTGTAAATGTGACTTTCTTAATCTAATTAATATTGTACTGTGTCAAAGTAAATCTGCAACATCTGGTTGGTAGTAAACCCTGACATAAAATTTTAAAAGCAGGTCATGTGAACATTAGGGTCTGTATAACCCTGGGGTGAGCGGATCAATATGGAGTTCAGGAGCCAGTCTGTCCTATCCAGAAGCCAGCATCACTGATCATAACTAGTGAGAACCTCGAAAGTTAGGCGCCGTCTCTAATTTCTAAGGAGCGTTGGCTATTGGGCTTCTGAGATTTGGCTAGCCCTGGTTTAAGCTGGTATAGATCATGATCATCATATTTGATAAATATCAAAATAAAAAGGATACAAAAGTCATAAAAGGTTCCTAAGCATTTTTTATAATTCCATTGCTTTGAAATCTGGATTAAACAGATGCTCTAAACATGGTCTACACCAATCCACCAGCTAGATATTGTTGTAATCCATGGTTATAGCAAAAGGCTGGGACATAATGAGTAGCTCACTCAAGCTTACTCCCAATCTCAATACAAGTTGGTAAACTAAATGTGAGATTTGAGTTCATCAAGGGAGTGAGGTTGGAGCGATGTCTACCTTACAACACACACAGGGACCATGTCTACCTTACAACACACACAGGGACCATGGGAAACAAAACTAGGCATCCTTCAGAAGGAATAGGGAATAAAGGTACTTGAATGCATAAGGTTTAACTCCTGAGTTTAGTGTCACTTTAAGTGAAAATATGCTCTGTTAACCCCTTCATGACTGAGGCCCTTTTTTCATTTTTTGCACCCATGTTATAAGTAACTGTATTTCTATGAATTTTCCAGGACAGCAACCTGAGAGATGATTGGCTCCTCCTTCTACAGGAAACACAATTAAGAAAGCAGTTAAATACCCTCCCACCTCCTCGTCCCTCAGTTGAGACAAAAGTATACTACCTCCACCAGTGAACGAGGGAAAACTAACACCCATAAACAACCCGATGCATAAACAAAAAACCAGGGTGGGAAGTAGCCTTGCTGTTCTGGAATATTCATAGAAATACCGTTAACGTTACGAGGTCCAGTTGCAACAACACTTCAACTTGGTAATGTCTCACGAAGGTATCTTGTCGTGACCAGACAGCTGCCTTGCAAATCTGGTCCACCGATGCCCCAGTTTTTTCTGCCCAGGATGTTGCTAATGATCTGGTAGAATAACCTTTTCATAAAAAGTGAATAATTTTCTACGGGTAGCGTTCTAGTATGTGGTGACTCAAATCTGGTACTGTTCCCTAATCTTTACAGGCCCAAAGACTCTTAGAAAGACTTTGCAGAGTGCAAGTATTTCGGAGACCTGTTATCATCCTATTCACTGGTAGACTGCTGGAGAGAGGGGTATCCCCATAAAATCGATTACACCCATTATTCTCATCCACATAACGTCTTATCTAGGATTGACCATATTTTTGTCAATACTTCTTTAATACCCCATATCCTTCGATCCCGTCTACTACCTATTCCCCTATTCCTTGGTCGGACCACTGAGCTATCTCTATGCTACATTTGAACTTACTCCCTAGGTCAACACTCGCATCTTACATCATTGAATATATACAGTTGTGTGAAAAAGTGTTGGCTCCCTTCCTGATTTTTTATTGTTTTGCACGTTTGTCACACTTTAATGTTTCAGATCATCAAAAAAATTTAAATATTAGTCAAAGATAACACAAGTAAAACACAACATGCAGTTTTTAAAGGAAGGAAGGAAAACTAAATCCAAACCCACATGGCCCTGTGTTAAAAAGTTTTTGCCCCCTAAACCTAATAACTGGTTGGGCCACCCTTAGCAGCAAGAACTGCAATCAAGCGTTTGCGATAACTTGCATTGAGTCTGTTGCAGCGCTGTGCAGGAATTTTGGTCTACTCCTCTTTGCAGAATTGTTGTAATTCCGCCACATTGGAAGGTTTTCGAGCATGAACCGCCTTTTTAAGGCCATGCCACAGCATCTCAATAGTATTCAGGTTAGGACTTTGACTAGGCCACTCCAAAGTCGTCTTTTTGTTTTTTCTTCAGCCAAAAAATCTGTTTGATGATCTGAAACATTAAAGTGTGACCAACGTGCAAAACAATGAAAAATCAGGAAGGGGGCCAACACTTTTTCACACAACTGTAACTGTTAACCAAACACCTGACGTCTCCCCAGTCACCATATGGGAAGCCCATAACCCGGTCCCCAGGGGTAAAATTATCCAACTGTCCTCTAGACTTAAAAAGGAACGACCCCAATGTTTGACTTCGTTTGAACATGACTTCAACACTTGTTCTCAAGCTTTTTCTTCGGATCCTTCCCCCTCTAATAGAACTAATTTGGAATTGGCTCTCCAGGCCCTTAATTTGTTCCTGACGGACCCCTCCTTTTAAACCCCTTAAATTCCTGGGTATCCCACACCTGTAACCCTGTTAAAGTCCTTGACATTGTTCACCAACAACTTTCCTCTCTGTACTCATCTCAGGGCACCTTTTCTGTGACTATGGCGGACCAGTTTTTTTGCTAGACTAGATCTTACCCCATCTTTTAGCATCCCAGGTAGACTGATTTGAGGAACCTATCATGGAGCAGGAAGTCCAACATGCAATTGCCTCCCTCTCCCGTAGCAAAAGACAAGGCCAGACAACTTCACGGTGGCGTACTGCGTGAATTCAAAGATCTGCTGGTCTCTCTTTAGACAGCCTCCTTTAATTGTCTTCGTAGAGGTGTACCCCTTGGTCGAGATTCGCTCACTGCATCAATTTGCATGATCCATAAGCCTAAGTCTGATCACTTTAACCCCTCTAATTTCAGGCCTATCGCTCTACGCAATGTAGATATTAAATTATTGGCTAAAGTTTTAGCCAATAGATTGAACCTAGTAATTGGTCAGCTAGTAAATAACGACCAAGTAGGCTTCATCTCCACATGACAGGCTGGCGACAACATTCGTAGGATCACTCTCCTTACCCACATAACCAAAACGAAGAAAATTCGAGCCATGCTTTTTTCTCTAGATAATTAAAAAGCCTTTGAAACAGTCTCCTGGCCTTAGCTTTTTTACACTTTACAACATTGGGATTTTAAGTCGAACTTCCTTGTTTGGATATCCTCTCTAAATAATTGTCTGTTAGCCCACATCAAATACTTTGGTTTCTGCTCTATGTGGTTCCCAATTTTGAGAGGGAACTCGTACTCACCCAAATGCTCTGATACTTAACTCCGATACCAGAACCTCATGACTCGCTGCCCGACTTCCTGATTGGTCAGTAAGCCAGGCAGCCTCTGAAGCCGTTGGTCCTTCATAGTTACATAGTCAGGTTGAAAAAAGACACAAGTCCATCGAGTCCAACCTATAGAGATACAAAGGAGAAAAAAAAAAGAAGAAAAGCCTAAACAGAACACTATGCCCACAATTACCCAATGTTGATCCAGAGGAAGGCAAAAAAGAACCCCTATAAAGCACGGTTCAATTTGCTCCAACAGGGGAAAAAATTCCTTCCTGATCCCATAAGGCAATCGGATATTCCCTGGATAAACAATCTCTGATGCCTAATATACCTATAAGAACTCAATATCCAGTAATATTCTGTGCATTTAGGAATACATCCCAGATGTTTTTTAAAACAATTAACCGAGCTAGCTAGAACAAGCTCCTGGGGGAGTCTATTCCACATTTTCACAGCTCTAACTGTGAAGAATCCTTTCCGTATGCAAAGGGTAAACCTCTTTTCCTCCAGACGCAAAGAGTGCCCCCGTGTCCTTTGCAGTGACCTTAACGTGAATAATTTGCCACCAAGTTCTTTATATGGACCATGTATGTATTTATACATGGTGCTCATGTCCCCCCTTAATCGCCTCTTCTCCAGAGAGAACACATTCTGGTCAGCTAATCGTTCCTCATAGTTGAGCTCCTTCATGCCTCTTATGAGTTTGGTCGCCCTTCGCTGCACTTTTTCCAGTTCCACAACATCCTTTTTGTGAACTGGTGCACAAAACTGAACTGCATATTCCAGATGAGGTCTTACTAATGCTTTGTACAGGGGCAGGATGTTCGCTAGAACTTCGGCTTCACAGGCAATCGGGAAGCCGGGCGATGGGTCATGGGTCATGAGCTGCTGCCCGACTTCCTAATAATCGGGGCAAAATGCACCAGTACTCGGTACTAGGTATCGTCGAGTCCCCCCCCCAAAAAAATATTGGTAGTCGATACTGAAAAACCAGTATTGGTGCATCCCTAATTGTTCATTTCTCTTATTTACTTGTTAAACTGACCCACTCTTATTGTACTCTATATAGTGCAAATTATCCTGCAATGATATCTGAACTCACACACATGTTGAAGATGTGGACTACCTA